ACCAAAACAAAAAAACAAAACCCTAATAGCCAAAGCAATGTTAAGCAAAAGAACAAAACTGGAGGCATCACATTAGTGACTTCAAATTATACTAAAAAGCTATAGTAACCAAAACAACATGGGACTGGCATAAAAGTAGACAAAAAGGTCGGTGGTAGAGAATAGAGAATGCAGAAATAAAACCACACTGTCTTGCTTATTATAACTTTATAATGAATTGTGAATCAGGCTCTTTGTTTCAAAATTGTTTTGATTACTCTATGTCCTTTGATTTCCATGTAAATTTTATGATCACTTTGTCAATTTCTCCAATAAAACTGACTGGGATTTTGATTTGGACAGTGTGTTGTATCTATAATCAATTTGGGGAGAATTGACATCTTAGTACTGTTGAGTCTCCTGAACCACAAACCATTATATCCCTCCATTTATTGGCATCTTCTTCAATCTCCTTCAACAATATTTTGTAGTTTTCAGTGTACAGGTCTCATAGCTTTTCTTCATGCATTCCCAAGTACTTCATAATTTTATGCTATAATTAATGGCTTTGTTTTAAAATTTCAAGTTCTGATTTTTCATTGCTAGTATATAGAAATACAGTGAGTTTTTGTATATTGATCTTGTGTTCTGCAACCCTGGTAAACTCTCTTAAAAAAGTTCTAGGACTTTTTTTGTAATTAGTTCCAGGACTGTTTAGTAGTTTCTGGATATATGCTCATATACTCTGTGAATAAAGACAGTTTTTATTCTTTCTTTACAATCAGAATGCCTTCACCCCCTTTTCTTTGACTTATTGCACTGGCTAGACTGTCCTGTACAATATTGAAGAAGCTATAAGAGCAGATTCCTTGGCTCATTCTCAGTCTTTGTGGGGCAGAGGTGCGTACAGGGAAGCATTCAGTCTCTCACCAGTAAGTACAATGTTGGCTATAGATTTTATTTTCAATAGATGCCCTTGAATAGGTTGAAGAATTTCCCTTCTATTTTTAGTTTGCTGAGAGTTTTAATTAGAAATTGATGTTGAATTTTGTCAGGTTTTTTTCTGTCTACTGAATGATCATAAAAGTTTTAGAAAATTCGTTAATATAGTTAATGACACTGATTTATTTTGAATGTTAAATTAGCATTGAATTCCCAGGATAAACCTCACTGAGTCATGATATATTATTCTTTGTATTTATTGCTGGATTCAATTTTCTGTTTTAAAAAGAAGTTCTGTATTGATATTGAATTATACTTTTATTTTAAAGTCTAACTTGTATTGGGATAAGAGTAATATTAATCTCATTGAATGAGTGGGAACCATTTCTTCTTATTACCTAGGAAAATTGATGTAGAATTGGTATTATTTCTTTCTTAAATGTTTGATAAGATTCATCAGCCTTCTGGGTCTGGAGTTTTATTTGTGGGAAGGTTTTTGCCATCAATTTAATTTTTTAATAGTTATAATATTTATATTGTGATGCAATATTATATCCATATTATGATATTATAAATTAACCTATTTTGAAGGTTTTTTATTTTTATCTTATCTATTTTCTCTTGAGTTAGTTATGATGGTACATGTCCTTTAAGGAAATTGTCTGTTTCATTGAAGTTGTCAAATTTATTGGCATACAATTGCTCATAATATCCCCTTATTATTTCTTTAATACCTATAAAATCTATAATTTTTAATCTTCTATTTTTTCCTTTGTCTGTCTAGTAGTTTATAAATATCATTGCTCTTCTCAAAAAACTAACTTTCGGTTTCATTGCATTTCTTTCATTGTTTTTCTGGTTTCTACTTTATTGATTTTTTTGTTCTAAGATTTATTATTTCCTTGATTTTGCTTACTTTTAGTTTAATTTGCTCTTCTTTTTCAAAATTTTAAATATGGAAGCTGAGATAATTTTCTTTTGAAAACTTTCTTCTTTTCTAATATAGGCATTTATGGCTATAAACCACCCCTATAAACTGCTTCAGTGGCATCCCACAAATTGTGATTATGATTTCATTTTCATTCAGTTTGAAATACTTTCTAACATTCTTTTAGTTTCTTTTTACTATTCCATTGGTTATTTAGAAAGTGTGTTATTTAGTTTCTAGACATTTAAGAATTTTCTAACAACTTTTGTTATTGATTTCTAATTTAGTTCCCTTATGGTTAGAGAACATGCCTTATATAGCTTGAATCCTTTTGAGTTTATTAACACTCATTTTATGGCCCAGAATATGGTCTTTCTTGGTGAATATTCTATGTGTACCCCAAAAGAATGTGTATTCTGCTATTTTGGGGTGGACTATTGATGTCAATTAGATCATGTTGGTTAATAGCTTTATTCAAATCTTCTGAAATTCTTATTGATTTTCTGTCTCTTTGTTCTATCAATTATGGAGTGAGGGGTATTGAAATCTTTGATCATAATGGCTTCAAATATTTTGAAACTCTGGTATTATTATGTGCATGAATATATGTTTAGAATTGTTATGTCTTCTAGATGAATTGGTCCTTTTATCAATATGAAATGACCATTATTATCCCTGATAATATTATTTACACTGACATATACTTTGATATTTACATAGCCAGTCCAACTTTCTTTTGATTAATACTAGCATGGCTTATGTTTTCCATTTTTTTTTGTTACTATTTGTGTAACTGTTTTTGTTACAATCTGTCTCTTTATGTATTTTGAAGCTATGTTAACTAGGTGCCTAAACATTTAAGGTTTTTATACTCTCATAATGAATTGACACATTTATCACCTTGAGATGACCTTCTTTATCTCTGGTAATGCACTTTGCTCTGAAATCTAATTTGTCTGATATTAATGTAGTCTCTCCAGCTTTCTTTGTATCAGTGTTAGCATGGTATATTGTTTTTCATCATTTAAATTTTAATCCATTTGTTTCTTTCTATATAAAATGAATTTTTGGACACTATTAATATATATTTTTTAAAAATTATCTTTTATTTCATATATTTAAGGTGTATAACATGATGTTTTCATATACACATACATAATGAAATCATTACTACAGGCCAACCATATATCCATCACCTGCCATAACCATTTTTTTTGTAGTAAGAGCACCTAAAATCTTTCAGTAACTTTTCAATGTACAATATTATTAACTACAGTTCTCTTGCTGTACATTATCTCTCTAGACTTGTTCTTCTTACACAGGTGCAGGTTTGTACCCTTGACCTACACCTTCCCACTGTGCCACTACCATGTGGCACAAAATATTGCTGTCAAAACATCTGATGCCAATCTGATATCTTTTCCCTTTTAAATTACTTGATATTTCTGTCTGGATAACAAAATAATGTTTTTACATTTAGTGCTTCTTTTTAAGTTCAACTATTGTTCTCCAATTGGCCTCTCTTGCTTTTAGTATTTTTGGAAATTTTTTGATTCTTGGTCGCCAGTGTTATCAGAAGTCTCACTGTCTCATGCAGGTCATAGAGCTGTAAGTCATGTGTTCCTGCCTACTGATAATTTGGGGTTCACGAGGACAAGCTGTCACTGAGATGTTTGGGAAGACGCTGCTTGTGGGTTTTGCTCTCCTAGGTGTTATGTTGCTAACGAGAGGGACGGGCAGGAGGTTCACAGCCTGTGCACAGGCCACAGGGCTTTCTCAGAACCCTCCTAACAGGCTTGAACATTTTGGATGTAAGTTTTTGTTGGTGTCTTTCTCTGCTTTTGTGTTTTGTTTTTATGACCAAAAGCCCACAGGCAATGTCTGCCAGGGGTTGCTTTGGCCTTCTCCTCAGGTCCCCAGCTTGAGACCCACAGCTGCCGAGCTCTCACAGCCCTGTCCTCCCGTCTCCTTTGCGCAGTCACTGGTGGTGCTGAAGGTGTTATCCACGGGTTTATTTTTTCTATACTCATGTTTGCTCTGTTTCATTTTAAGGAGCTTGGAAGATTTAAAAAAATTATTCTGCTGCTATGGTTAGTCATATCATGGGAGGTTTATGGATTTTTAAAAAATTTACAAAAGTGTTATAACATTACAAATATCAATATGTGATTATAGAATTTCCTTTTTTAGTACTTAAATTATTTTAAAAATATATCCATATGAAATGTATGTACATGTATGTATATGTAATTTTATGATTTTTATGTGATATTTTCCCTCATGTCAGTAAAACACATTTAATTTACCAATTTACCTATTCATTTGCATTTCTGCTATTTCATAGTTTTAATATAACAAAAAAGGTTGCAGTAAAAATTCTGATATATTTCTGCTTGAGCTCCTGTGTGACAGTTGCTATATTTATAACAATATACCTTTAATCTTTTAAAATTTAAATCAGGTGAAATGGCTTTGTAAATGGAATATGGTATACGAATATTAGGAACTTTACTTATCTGAGATTCTTATATTTTTCTATTTTTCCAAAAGCTCTCTTACTTTTTGATAACTGTTCTTTTGGACAGGAAAGGCCTGATTTTTTTTTTAAATTAGAGCTTATCGAAGTAAACATCACATTTCCCTTTACAAGTTCCTTGAAACCACTACCGTTCCCTTTAACAGCTCAATAGAGCCGAAATAAAGAAGCCTTGTGTGAACACCTCTGTGTAATTTTCTGTAGTGGTTATTCTTTTAGTTTGTTTTAAATAAAACATCCTAAAAAGAGAGAGGAGGAATATATTGGATTTCTTCTCAGGCTTTTCTATCCTACATCTGTGTTCTTGGAGTTTCTGCTTCAAGCACTTTCCTGAACAGAAACAAAGTTGCTTAGTTTGCACAATATTTATAAATGAATAAGTGAGCCTGGCTCTCTGGCCTGGAGGCCTATGCTTTTCATTTGGGTAAATTAACTTAGGAACCCCAAATTGAATTTCCTGCATATTCTTTTGTTGAAGAAGCAGTAATCCTAGTGTTTTTAGATATGATCCAGGCAGCTGTGACTGCCCCAAACAAGGGTAGCTGACATTTCTGTTTTCGCCCAAGTCACCAACTGTTTTATAAGTACACAGATTTACTCATATATTTGACATACCTTTATGGAGAGCACATGCACACTGTGTGTCCAGCCACGGTAGGAGCTAGGCATGTAAACAGGAAGAGGATGATGGTGATGATACTGATCACAATGACAATGTGCATAGATATATTTCCTTCCTTATAACAGCTAGGGGGTATTTTTCTAGTATATGAATATACTGCATTTAATTTATCAATTTCAGGCTTGTTGCAGTGGCTCAGGCCTGTAATCCCAGTACTCTGGGAGGCCAAGGTGGGAGGATCACTTGAGGCCAGGAGTTTGAGCCCAGTCTGAGCAAGAGTGAGACTCCAGCTCTACCACACACAAAAAAAAAAAAAAGTAGAAAAATTGGCTGGGTGTGGTGGTGGTGTGCACTTGTAGTCCCAGGTACTTGGGAGGCTGAGGCAGGAGGATCACTTGAGCCCAGGAGTTTGAAGTTGCTGTGAGCTGTGATGATGCCACTGCACTCCAGCCTGGGTGACAAAAAAAAAATTAATTTCACTATTCATTCACATTTAGGGGTTCTGTAATGTTTATTTATTGTTCTGGTGATTTACATGTATTAACTGATTTCATCGTTACAATAACCCTGTAAGGTTGTCAATAAACAATTGCTCCCACTATACAGATGAGAAAAGGAAGGCACAGGGAGTTTAAGTAGTGTTCTCCTAAGTGTCAATAAGTCACAGGCCTGGGACCTCATCCTGGGCAGCCTGGCTCCAAAGACCACACGCCCAAGAACTCTGCTTTCTCCGCCTGCGCAGCAGTAAGTCGTCGCTGTCCTAAGGAGCACATGGGCTAAAAGCTCAACGTGCAAATAAATGGATTGTAGTACAAGGCAATAAGAAACAACGGAGGAACGCCTGGAGTACAGGTGTAGCTCCGAGAAGAGTGGACTAGCTCACCTTTGCCAGGCTGGAGGAAGTCTGCCAGGGTGGACTTCTTGTTTTGAAGGAGTCACAGGCTCAGACCAATCAGCATAGATTCCTGGGAAGAGCATGCGCACGCACTTGCGCAGGTGCTGGTGGGACAGACGGTGGAGCTCAGGTACGGCAGAGCGGTCCAGTGGGAAGGGCTGTCCTTCTTCCCCTCCACCCCCAAGTGAATCCATTTGGGTCAGAAGTTCAGGCACTGCCACTTCTGAGTTTCATGGCCTTTGGCAAGTCACTTAACTCTCCTGATGTGGTCCTCACTTAACAACTTCACACGCTGTCTCAGTCTCCAAGGGAATAATTAATGCACGAGTTCCTTGTAAATGGCAAAGTGCAGGCAACTGTGAAGGGCTGCTGCCACTCCTCGGAAAGGACAAATGAGGCCCAGCGTGTCTCATGGCAGAAATGTGAATCACGACTCTACTGACTTTCTCCAGTGACTGCCTAATAAAACTGGATTTAACCTCTCAGTTCCAGCACGGAGCTCCTCAGGAAGAGTGTCAAGCACCATGTCTCACAACAGAATCCGGGCTGTGCGGTACTGACCAACAGGCAGGCGCCTGGCGCTGGGCTGAGGATGGGCTCGCTGTTCCAGGCCACTCTGCAGGCCCTCCTTTCTCCCTCCTCACGCAGAAGGCGACTGTTTCTGTAGCAGATGTACTCAAACTGCGCCCCGCCCGCGAGCCATATGTGGCCCGCCCTGAGGACATTTATCAGGGCCGCAGGGTGTTTTTGCTGCTGCTGCCTGTCCTGCTCAGCAGCCAACTCGTCCTGGGCCCACAGTGCACATGTGTGGAATGTGCGCCGCTCTCTCCAATACCCCTCCAACGGTCTGAGGGACAGGGAACTGGCCCCCTGTTTAAAAAGTTTGAGGCCCCCTGCACAGTGATTAGAGCGGGTCCACTATTAACACAGTCACTCAAGTGGCCCGAACCAATGGGGTGACAGTGCTGATGACCTGCGACTGGAAGCAGGGGCCTTCCCTGAAACAGTTCACGGAAACTGGGGAGCGTAGACCAAGCTGAGGGCTTATCCCAGGAGATCTGGCAGCATGGCTTCCTTGTTAAGAGATTTGTATGAATGATTTAGTCTTTAATTACAAGAACTCTCACTTATTAGACCTGACAAGTTTTACACCAATAATGGCCAGAGAAGGATTCAAGACAATATTTTTTAAAATGGAACCTCTAATCTCCTGATGATAGAGATTAAAAATTGAAATGATTCGCAGATTTCCCTAGGTACCAAGTCCTTCCAATTCCCCAAGCTCTTTCTTGAGAGAGCCATGTTCCATTCAGATCATGGAGAACTTTCACTTAGGGGGTCCATGCGGTTGTGCTCTGCTGAGCCCAACAGCTGAGCTGGCCAGAGGAGTGTGCATGAGGGGTTGCATGACAGGTGACGTGTGGACATGAAAGCCTCCTCCCGTCCAGCTCTGGGTCATTCTTGGGAATAACCATTGGCCCCTGTGTTCTTCTGGGGTCAGGGATAGTTTCCTTCTTTGGAGTCCATCACTTGGGGAGGCCACAGGGGGAAGCCACCAGGCCTGAAGGGCTAGAGTGCAGTGTGTCCCGGTGCTTGCTAGAGAGTTCCCCTTCACTCTGGATTTAGCCGGAAGATGCAACCATCATATGAACCGAGAAGAAGCAATGACACATCTTTAAATAGAGATGTCCCCTCAAGTCAACCGATGTCATGACCTCCAGGGTGGTTCCCAAGCTCAGCAGGCCACTGCTGCCCTGGCTCTCCCCACACGGCCACACATGTACCCAGGCCTGGGGCAACTAATCTCTGCTTCTTTCTGAAGCTTCTGGTGAAAGCATTGCCCCAGCAGCTCATTGTTTTCTGTGCTGCTCTGGCTGCTGTTGGGCTGCCATCAGTGTACACAATCCATTTCAGGAACCTTTCTTCCTGTGACTGGTGTGGAAGGCCTGCCTTTACCTCTGCATGTCCTGGATGGCGCCTGACAAAAGCATCAGCCTTACCACATCCCAGGCCTTGAGGCTCTGCGCTCCCACTTGCTTTCTGTCTGGCAGTTGGTGCTAGATTAATCTCCTGGCTGCTGTAAGCTACCCATTTACAACTTCTGGACCTTTGTTCGTTCAAGTTATTTTAGCATATTTTGTTGATCCAAATTGTATGGTTTAAAATGAGTAATTCATTTTATGGCAATAAATGATTAAAGCCCCCAATTATTTGCATCCATCTAAGCTGAAGTCATGGTTGAAGCCCTGAGCCCTTGCTGCAGTAGCACTGAATGAGGAGCCTCGCAAGGACAAGCAGGTATTGACACCGTGCATTGGAGAGTGCACAGCCCTGGGTCAATGTTACCCCTTGTTTATATTCTTCTCAGCTTATGGCCCTCCGGCGACCTCCATGCTCGCTCACAGGCAGAGCCAAAGTCACCCTCTGCCCTCGTCTCGCCTCCCCTGTCCCTTGCTGTGGTCAGCACACCACCTCCTTCCTGCTGCTCAGCCTTGCCAGGCACTTCCTCACCTTTACTTCCTGTTACCTTGGCCTGGATGCTTTCCCCCAGGTGTCCACAGGATGGCACCGTCACCTCCTCCAGGTCTTTGCCCAAAGTCACCTTTTCAGGGATTTGTCCTTCACCATTTGAACATCTAAAATTGCAACAGCTCCCCAGAACCAACTATTCCTTCTGCTATATTTTTCTCCACTACCCTATCACCATTGGACATACTCTGTTTTGTTTATTGTATATTTCTCCCAACCAGAATGTAACCCTTAAGAGGATAAGATATTTCTCTGGTTTGTTATCTCCCTAGTACCTCTGCAAGAGCTTGGCATGATGAACTAATGGGGAATAAATTAAATAAATTTTAGTGGATAATAGACATTATATCTTCTTATTATATAAAGGATATCATTTGAAGATATTCCTCCTTCCATAACATCTCTTCAAGTAAAAATTAAATGTCTCTAAAAGACTAACTTTAAAACAACACAAATCTCATTTTTCCACAGATATATTTCTAAGATATCTTTTTACTTTTTTGAAAACATTTTTGTTTCTGGCAATAAAAGTAATACTGAATCATTTTAGGATGTTCAAAAAAGTACAATCTTTTAAGTTGCTAATAATCCTACAGAGTTAACCACGGTTAGCATTTTGATGTACTTCCTTCCTGGATTTTATGTATGCATAAAACACACTTTCTATGAACAATGATATGTATTTACACATATTTATGTATATATATTTAAATTGGGATTATATTATGTTTAATTTTATCATGTACTATACCAAGAACATACTATGTATCATTGCTTATTTTTCTAAAACATTATGTTCACAGGTATCTTAATATTATATCATAAAATCTGTTAAATATCTTATTTAATTAGTCTGCTATTGTGGATATTTTAAAAATATTTTTTCACTTTCATTTTCTATTTCATTTATTGTTTTTTAACAACTTTCATTTTTATTTATTCTAATTCCTTTAGTTTATTTTGCTTACATATTTTACTTATTAATAATATTCTTCAAAGTTTAATCTGTAATCCTTGTGATCTTTCTAATGTCATTTTCTAAACTCTAAGTGGTTTAGCATCTAGATCTGTTTACCTTTATTTCTTTGGTTTTAGCTATGTCTTACCTTCTTGTATTTTCTAGATTACATCCCATTTCCATGATATATTTCATAGCATGTCTTCACCCTGGGCAACAGCAGTGATTTATTGAGAGGCCAAGGCTGCCTCTCCTGTGCCTGCCTCTTCCTCCTCCTCCCTCTCTCATAGTCTCCTCCCGACTCTGAGAACGCCCTCCTGTAAAGAGCATTCTGAGGACATGGTGGTCTCCCTGTGTGGCTGGTGAGGTCACAGTGCCCCCTGGAATCATGTTCCCAGCCATCTCATTCTGAAGAGAGGAACATTCCATGTTCTAGAGTCTCTAACCTGCAGTCCCTGGTGTGGGGATGGAGGAATGTCACCTCATACCCAGCTTGATTCGGGGCGAGGTGAACAGTCCTAAGGAAGCTGCCCTGTGGAGCCTCTGTAGTCCAAATGCTGTCTTCGTTTCTCCCTCAGCCTCTGTCTTCATCACTTTTATTTTAAGCTTTCTATTGGTTTCCTTTGGGGGGCAGGGTTACAATTCCAAGTCCCCTCAGCCTCCCAGCGGGCTGTTACTCCCACAGGCCCCAGTGTCCAGCAGGTCTCAGATCCTCATGGATCAGACAGGCCTGCCCAAATTGCAGCGTTACGGAAGAGGCCCATTTCCTAAAAGTGTGGAGAGACGCCGTGGACGGGATGCTCCCTATCAGCATCCCAGCTGTCACGGTGCGTCTACAGGAATAGCCTGTGT